TCGGTCTGATGACGTTGCGGCGGCAAGAATCTCTGCCCCCATGGATGAAAAGGCAACACGCTTCTGCTTGCAACTGATCCAGTCAAGGACGTGGTAGATCCCCGCACCCCCTGCTGGCAGGTATAGGCCGGAGACGTACCCTGTCTGCCCGTATGAGGAGCTACCTTGACTGGCATCAGAAAAAGCGAGGTAGGAAGGATTGACGAGAGATGACGGCGTTCGAAATAGGAGCGTCGGGGAAAGCGCTTTGATCTCCACAAGCAACTTGTTCCCGTTTATAAGATCGGCCACCTTCAAGCGCCCAACGGCTTGCTGAAGGTAGCTGGCTGCGAAAGCCGCTTGCGGGAGAATGCCATGTCCGAGGAAATTGAGACTTCCGGCGAGAGCTTGGTATGAAGTCAACTCTGGAGCGGTGCACTTGTCTTGGTGTCGTCTTCTTCTTTCCTTTGAGACTTCGATCGGAAGAATTTTGTCCACGTACTCTTGCATATTAATGCTTAAAGAGCCGGAAGGCTCCTGGTGGATATGAAGACGATTGAAGATCAAGTCCTTGTTCACGACGTAGCGTCCGACAATGAACCGGCGAGAGATAGCTTCGTGAAATTGATGGATGTTAGGAAGAACGCCAACCACGAGGAAGTCATCGACGACCTTTGCGACCAGTAGGTTTATCGATCCCTCCGCATTGTATTTGGCGAAGAGCTGAAGAAGGCCTGGGACTTGTACGAACCCTTGCGTGGACATCCATTCCTCGGCGACGAGTTGCCATAGGCGTCCGGATTCTACAATTCCATAGGCCGGCTTGAGTATCTTCCAGACTGTTCGAGCAGAAGATACCCAACCTTTCGGGGGTCGGACGTATATGTCCCGGGGAAAGTGGCCAGCTTGCAAGTATGCTCCTTTGATGTCAATGGAGGCAACTGAGAAAGACATTATTGCCGCGACAGAGAGAACGATGCGAATTATTGGGAACTGCGCTGTCGCTGAGTCTTTCCGGACGAATTCTTTGTCTCGATCCCGGTTCCCGTGTGGGACTAGACGACACTTTAGCTTCAGCTTTCCTCCTTCTCCGTCGGTCTTGACTTGGAAGAAGTGGTGGGAAGAAATCACATTGGCATGTCGTGGGAGATCCCCATACGGGACTTCCTTGTATGCCTCGGCTTGTGCGTAGTTTTCTTTCTCCTCAGCTATGGCCTGATCAACTATCCATCGCGGAGCAAATTGGAGTTTGAATTCAGAGGTGGGCTTGTTCCCAACCACTTCCTGAATTTGTTGAAGGACCTTTTGCTTCGACGATGCAAGATGAAAAGGCAGGCTCGACGGAGCTACAACGTCTGTGGTTCCGATGTCTTTTTCCGGCTGTGGGGGCTCATGAGTTGAGTTCAAATCGAGAGTGCTACTCGAAGTTGAGACTGGATACCGTGTTCCAAACAAGGAATTGCAGCGACCGATGGACCTTGTGTTGACGTCCAACAAAGGGTTGTTCAACCTCTTCGGCTTTGAGGATGCTAATAAGCTCTTTGATATGGGGTGGGAAGCCCACAGAGCCTCTTCGGTCCTGAACTCAGAGATGTCCGTCAGATCGCCGGGGGGCTCCAAGTCAGGAAGGCTGTCTACATTCGCCGCCTCCTGCTGCCCTGCAGACTCTTCCGGTCTGCTTGGAGGCGACTTGTCACTCACATTCGGCATCTCTTCCAACTCAGAGAAAAGCGGAGGGGGTGCCGATGTTGGAGGGAACATACCTTCTTCAAAGTCCTCATCAATGACGGAGTACGACCGTGGGAATACGAAGTCCATGTCATCCAACTCGGCAAGTAGAGGGGAGGACGGAGCTTTCCGAACGTCCTCGTATGCCGCTCTTATGGGCTTACCAATGTGATCCTGACGCCTTGAAAGGACGACGAAGTGGGGCTGTGGGTTCCGCACGTACGCGTGTTCCCACGAGCCAAACTTTGGGCCTCTCTTGAAGAAATACACAGGGTCATCACGTGATAACTGGGCGGCTTGAAGCGCTTGTGGACATCGCGACTTGTCGAGGAGCCTCAAAGCTCTTCGTGCCACTTGCTCGTTATGCGCAGTGATGAGATCAGCGGACAGCTTTGCTTGAGGGAGACCAACAAGCGAGGGGGTGTAACCCCGAGTCATCTCGAAGCTGCTCAGTGACTTGCTTCCATATAAGATGTTGCTCAGATACACGGCACGTGAGACCACGTCTTTCCTTTTAACTGAGTCAACACTGCACGCCGAGGAGTTTGATGCATCCTTTAGAAGACGTTGGATAAGCACACGGACAACCGCATTCTTCCGCTCCACGACGCCGAGTTTGTTATGACGTCGGGCTGGACGGGGTTCAAAACGTATTGAGAAGTACCTTAGGGCGTCGGCAAAACGGGAGTTGAAGAACTCGATATCTCCCGATATGATTGATGGTGCACCGTGAACGTTTACCCATGCGACTTCCAATTGCCGAGCTGCTTCGTCCATCTCACGGGTCCGCATCAGGGATGCTACTGAATAACCCGTATGGACATCCACCATATGTAAGATGGGGGCGTTCTCGAACTCCGCACAGAAGAAGAAGTCGAGTTGGACATGGTTGTTGAACGAGGCGAGTATTTTCCCAAAGGATATCTTCCGTGATTGGAGTGGGCGGCCTGTTTCTTTGCAGCTAGTGCACTTCTCGACGGCTCTCTGAAGCGCTTGTTTTAGCACAGGAGTCATAACCCCTCCTCGACGACACAGCGTCTCCATGTCTTGAAGGGCAAGGTGTGAATATCCATGAAGCTTGTTGGCAAAGCGACCGGCGATTCTGCCATATCGAAACCTTGCCTTCATGGTTTCTGCCGGCGGGATAGTGGACGCATATGAGACTTCCGTGGAGAAGAACGTCACAAAGGAGGATGTTTTCGACGGAACGACGAGAAGAAATGTGCGAACCGCATCGGGGTCACTCGACATTGTTGGTTCGGTGTATGTCTTGAACGTGAGGCGTTTTGACGAGAGGTTTCTCACTCCTTTTGGAATAACCAAAAGGTTCTCCGGTCCAAGCTGGTACGAACGGTGAAGGATTTCGTTACCCAGAAGAAGGAATCCATCTCCTCTCGTAACGTAGAACGGAATTTTGACTTCCGTTCCACTCATGTCGGTCACAGGAAGGTTCCAAACTCCAATAGTGACCTCGGCGTCGCTACAATTCTTGCCATATCCGTGCAAGAACGGTTCACAGTTTAGCCTTCGAAGTTTGAATGGAATGTTCATGGCAGTGCAGAGGGCTGCGGCGCAAGAAATTCCTCCAACACTTCTGGGACATCCCGGATCAATAATGGGATTTGGATCCGGGATTCTCGGATTGATATCCGAGGAGGCTCCGGGATGGCTGACTAGGCTTGCCTGTTTGACGAGCCGCCGGAGCCTCTCCGAAAAAACGAGGGATGTGCCCCGGAGCCGCCGTCACTGGGGTCTCGGCGCGTCCTCTTTTTCTTAGTGAAGGCGCTAGGTTCTTTGCACTCTGCTGCCCCTCTGTAGTGACCACGCTCTCCGCAGTCATAGCAAATGGACTGGGTCTCGTGATCAGAAGGCAGCTGCCTCTTGCGACTGCCTCGAGATGCGTCACGACGGCTAGAGGGTGGACCCATTCGAGTGTCCTTCTTCTGCCCGTGACGCGAGCCGACTTCAGAGAGTCTGTCGAAGATGCTTGCAGGGCCAGGCTTGCCATGGGTGCCAATGAGAGACTTGACCTTGCGGTCAACTAAGGCTTGGACGTCCTTCATGGAGAACTGAGGAGCATCCATTGACGTTGTCTGGGTCAGATTCCTCAGCACGATCACCGCGTCGTCAAGGTTGAGCCTGCAAGAAGTGTGCCGCGGCAGGAAAGAGTCTGCCACTGACGTCTTCGCAGCATTATTCTCTGCAGTCACCTTTAGGTCTTGGACTGCAATGTCCAAGGAGCGGATGAAGCTGATTGTTTGCGATCTGAAGTCGGACAGAGCCTTCTTGTAATCATCGGCCGTGGACTCTGACTCGCGGAGTGGAACGTCAACCTTCTTCAGCTTCTCAGATATCTTGAGGACTTCCTCGAGATGCACCTTGGATACCTTTTCGGTGTCGACGACTGCCGACTCCTCCTTGTTTCGGGCTTCTGCATGCGAAATTAGTTGGAGCTTGGCATTGGTCAACGTTCCCTCCTCTATGTTTGCGTTATTGAGGAGGGTAATCGCCAAAACTTCACCTATCTGCGAAGAAGAAGAAGTGTTGGCGTGCAGCAAGTGCTTGGCTGCCAAACCTCGGAACCTCGAGACGAAGCTGGAGAGCTTCTCGTTCCTGTCTCGGCGACACGAGGTGACCTTCTGGTATGATGCGATGAGCCTTGTGACCATGGCAATCGGTGGGTCTACAGCGACAAGCTCGACGATGGAGAGTGCCGCTTGCACGGGATCATCCATCTGAAGGTAGTCGAGCTGTCCTTTGGACTGGGCTTCATCGACGATTGCCTTCTGAGCTTCCGGAAGGCCGCGCTCATAGAGCGTTCGTCCGAGGAGCTTGAACATCGTCTGAAAAGTGCGATCGGTGCCTTGGTCGTGGGCGACTTTGAGTGAGTCGACCCACTGTCCAACCTTCTTGCGCCAGGCTTCAAGATCGCCATCGGCGGCGAAGAGAGGCGGGTCGAAGAATCCTGATAATTTACTCATCTTTCCCCCTGGGCCCATAACTGTGGGAGAACGGCAACGATGAGGTTAGTAGTAGCCGCGCTCGTCGCACGCAGCGGCGGGGGAAAGGAGTCGCGAGAGCGAGGGGGATGGGGATACTTCGGATGTCGAGTCTCGAGACTTTTCGCCGGCGCTGTCGGAGGGTAGCAAGTTACCCCCGAGGGTCGGTCGGGATACCGCCCTCGGATTTTTATATATCCGGATTTCCCGCCGGCGCGTCGAACGGATAATTTCCCTTTTTCCCAGATTTAGGGCTAACCAAATAAAGTGCAATTTCTATCTTCCCACAGTTATTCATGACCTCCACTCCTCTCGAACGTACTGCACACTTTCCGCTGCAGCCGGTGCGAGAACTCTATTGCTACCCTCCTCCCAAGCAATAATATCCTTCTGGGCATTGGTGATGGCGTATTTGTACTCGACGGTGGATGCCTCAACACTGAGCGCTAGGTCGACTGCCATGACTCCAGTTGTCTCCCATATATTACCATGCATTTTCTTCGCCTGTTTCGGGTCCCAGCAACCAAAACTGAGATCGCTCCCAATCAACACAACCGAGAACTCTTGACGGGAAAGTCGTGGAGGGATGGACCCCACCTGCAACTCAAACCGAAGTGCCCGAGTATCACTGTTAGCGTAGTCTTCGAATTTCTCTGTTGAGGTATTCCGGACAAACGATAACCGAGTAGGAGAAGAGGCGACTCTTGCGTCATCGGTGTTCGTCTGAAGACCGTTGCGAGCAGAATATTCGCTGGCACTATTAATATCGGGTATAGAACCCAATACGCTGCTTCGCATATGCTTGAAGCACGCAAATTTCAACTGATCTGCGAAGAGAGATGTCGATAGAGAATTTTGGAGCCATGGAGGCAAGCCATATTCGGCAGCAGCATCTCGCAGCGATGTCACATACGATACCTGAAATCCACAGTCCCTTGCTAAAGCGAATAGGTCCCCACATGCAAAGATTGGTGCCGCTCCCATCCAATGCCCATCTTCACTCTCCTGCACGTTCTGCGCAAAATCCGGGGTTACATAAACAACCACAATAGCGCTATCAAGGGACGTCAACGTCCCAATCATAGACAAATGTCTTTGCAATCGCTCGTGCTCAAAGTCGGTTGTATCGAGACAAACCAACCACGTGCTTCTGCGTTGCCAGCTGTATCCATTAAGCACGAGACTGGCATCCCATGCGCAACCGTCGAGCACTGCTTCTAAGTGGACGTAGTGGACGTTGTCGGGGAGCGCGTCATCGAGGCGGGTGGCTTGCATAGAGGCTTTGATGGCGAGCGAAGCGTCGTTAAGGGCGAAGACTGAGAGGGGATAGAGAAAGGATTGCCGCTCAGCGACAGGGGCGTGCAAACCTGGTGCAAAGAGAACTAACTGATCGGGCGCTTGTTCACTTCGATGGTGCTTGGAGAGTATGGCATCTAGGACGGCTTGGCGTGCAAGAAGGACGGCTTCCTGTTCGGTGGAAAGCGGCGTTTGTAGTGCTATCGGTAGTGGTGTTGGCTGGATGCAGTGGGACAGAAGTTGGTCGTCTTTCTCTGCGTCAAGGCTAACGACGAGAGCGAGCAACTCAGCCAGTGAATGTTTGACTGGTTGTCTCCCTTGCTCTTCCCCTTCCACATGGCTATGAAAATCGCTGAGAGTCTGTTCTACAGTCGGATCCTCTTGCACCTGATGGTCGACTCTCTCATGCCCATTCCCATTAGTCGCAACCTCCAACTCCTGATGAGGCGGCTCACCTGTATCAACGCATTGCGCCTCTTTGCCGATGCCGTCACCGACAGCCACTTGGACCCCGACGCCTCCCGTAACCGTTGCTGGTGCTGCTCCATGTCTATGGGCGACGCGTCTCAAGATCAGACCACGACCAGCTTCCACGCATGCGGACAGTCTGGAAAGCAAGAAGCTGCCACCCATGGCGGCTCTCTGGATGCGAGCAGCGCGAGCCGAAAAGCGTGCGACTGAAGCTTTTGTCTGTATTGGCTGGGTGAGTGCAGCGCATGTGGAACGAAGCCGCGAGGTGCAGCGTCGAGCGGGAGGGAAGGGAGCGCAGCAGAGCGGTATCCGCCGCGCCATGGGGTGTGCGTTGAAAATGGATGCTGGGAAGAGGTCACTTTGGGAGGTGACGGTTGCCGTCAATGTGAGAGAAGAGAGTCTGTCATCGTCGCCGGCAGCTGTGCTGGAACAATCAATTCCACATCACCCCACGATGCAACTCCATTGGTTGATCCGCCTCAGATTCTCTCTCGATCTCATTTCGTATCGTATTGGTGTTCCACCTCTGTCGCACCACGTTGATCCGCCTTCAGGTTCTCTCTCGATCTCATTTCGTATCGTATTGGTGTTCCACCTCTGTCGCACCACCGAGACCGCGGAGAGCATTGCGAGAATGGCAACGTCGCTCTGCTTTGCTGCGTCGCCTCCGCTGCAGCTACGTCCTCCAGGGTTCACGAGCAACTCGATGACACCATCCCATCCGCTCCGCATCGCATTCCCCCCCTCCCGGCATGCCCGAAGACCGCCCACCGCCACACTCTCTGCCTTACAGGGTCTCATTGACCCTTCCGTCTTGAGCTCTTCCGTTTCGGCCATATCCAAGCTCATGACCACCCTGCTCGTTGGTGTTGCCGCTGCCAAGTGCGGCCTGCTGGACACCGCCACCCTTACCGTACGTACGCCGCTCTCGTCCTTCCAGGCACCCCCACATCTCGTGCTTGAAATATCTGACGACTAGCTATTCACCAGGCCTTGTCCAAGTGTGTCTTCAACATCTTCCTTCCCTGCCTGATGCTCACCAACGTTGTGCGCACCATGTCCGTCCCGTTCTCAAGCGGCCTCTTTTACCTACCGATGGCGGCCGTTGCGACTGTCTTCATCGGCCTCATGCTCGGCATTGTTGGGGCCAAATTGCTACGTCTCACCGATCCCGAGCGCCGTGTTTTTCTCGTGTGTTGCGGCTTCGGAAACTCTGCAGCTCTTCCCCTGCTTTTTGCTAACGCCTTGTTTGCGGGGCAACCTGGCAACCTGGCGGCCTTGGTGTCGAGCATTTCCTTCTTCCTCATTGGCTGGACAGGCTTCTTTTGGTCTGTGGGGTACTCAATCTTGGCCGGGCTCCCCGATCCCAGCGCTGCGCCAGCGGTCGCCGCAGGCCAGAACAAGGCCCTTGGTGGCTTGCTGAGAGCGGCTGGGAAGCGCGTGGTCTCGCCGCCTTTGATCGGAGCCTTCGCAGGCCTTTCAATCGGCCTCAGTCCTGTATGCACTTCCTTTTTGGCATCGCCGATGTTCAGTGCGCTTCAAACGCTGGGTTCTGGATATTCACCAGCTGCAGTGCTGATATTGGCAGGTTCCCTGGCTCGAAAAGTGGAAACTCCCACCAGCAGTGCTCCTGGAGAGGTATCGTCGCTTCAATTGCGCATGCCGAGGCTGGTTATAGCGATCTCTATCTGTCGATTTATCATCTTACCGCTTCTCGCCATTCTAGTCATCCCAAGGGTCTCAGTTTTCAACACACCATTTATCAAGCTTGCGGTTTTGTTAGAGGCTATCATGCCACCGGCTCAGAATAGCACACTTATTTTGAACCTTGAAAAGAAGCCAGACGCTGCTGCAAGCATGGCTCGCATTTTGTTGGTTGTGTATCTCGTAGGCGCAATCCCGATGAGTATTGGGCTTACTTACTTTCTAGGATTCGCGGGTGTGTGAAGACAGCCAGCCTTTACTTATTCTTAAATACTTAACCCGACAACAGACAGCTGAGAAGGCGATCCCTGTGCTAATGACTACGGAACTACAAGTCAGGGCGACGCTGACTGCCTTCTAATAAGACTTCTCGAATTACTTCATGCAGTATAAAAAAGGGAAGGTGAGGAACCACGAAAAAACAGTGCTGCGCGAGGGCAGGCCGACGCAGTGAAGCCAAAGTAGCGAAACAAGACTCACATGGACAACCATTTGCAGCAGCTCGGAACCGTAATGCCCAAAAGTAATTCGGAAAAGTACAGGAAAATGGTGCACGGAAAACGGCTTTCAAGCATCGACATATTGGTAGTTGCCATTGGAAGAACGACCTAATCGCACCTAACATGCGTATGCGCTCTCTCTTCACGGCCTTTGTGCTTAGCCAAAGAAGAAATTAGGCATCAACACGCCGCTTTGGCTTCGGCTTCCATTGCGGGCCTTTCACATGCTTGACATCTGAAAACCCAGAGAATGAGGAAAGATCCTGGAGTAGTGGGGACTCAGAGAGCTCCCTTCGTGATATGCCTGTGGGCATTTCGGTCATGTAATAAAACTTTTTGGGCACCATAGGCGCTGGCAGCACTGACTGCGCATGCAACTTCAGCCACGGCTCACTCACTCGAGCGCCGCGCTTTGGCACAATGGCACAGAATACCTCAGCTCCAAATCGCTTATCTTTCCGTCCAAAGGCCTTCGCGACGGACACGGCAGGGTGATTTCGCATCGCAGCCTCCACGTCATCCAATGGAACGCGAACAGTCTTTGTAAGTGCACCCTGATCACCAGTGCTTTCCTTGACCTCGACTGGCTGGCTCTGGTTGGTTCCGTAGGCAGCATCCGCAACTTCACGAGCAGCTTTGACTGCTTCACGAGTATTGCTGGCAGAAGATGCCGCGCTCGCGGCAGCTGCCCTCACTGCAGCCTCGAGCTCCTCCACACGGACATCATGAATTTGGCCGTTTTGTTCTAGACTAGCGTTGAGTGCGCGCTCAGCCTCAGCTTCGGCAGCTTCAACTCGCCTCCTCATCTCTTCGAGTTCAGCCGCATTTCTCCCCTCGACATCTTGTTGCAATCGACGATGGTTCTCCTCGATAGCTTCTAGTCTAGCAAGGATAGCATTGGCAGTTTCGTCATCAAGATCATCAGGGTTTTCTATACCTGCCCGAGTAAGGGCCGCGGAGCGTTCGGCCCGTTCCTCTTCTTTCTTCAGCGACGCTGCTGTCGCAGCTGCGGCAGCGGTGGCGGCGGCCGCGGCGGCAGCGGCAGCTGCTGCAGCAGCTTTCTTCTCCTTTTCTCTTCTCTCCTCTTCAATGCGTTTCCTCTCCTCCTCCTCAATACGGAGTCTTTCTTCCTCCTCCGCTCGCAATCTCTCCCCCTCTTCCTTAGCGGCCAGAACGGCTACCGCCGAGCGCTCCTTTTCTTCCTCTTCGGCCTTCCTCGCAGCTTCCTCTTCAATTTCTTTGCTCTTCTTTTCTTCTTGCGCTTCAATTTCGGCAGCTCTCAGTTGGCGAGAGTTACCAACAACGCTGACAAAGCCATCGCTGTCAACAGCACCGCGATCTCCAGTGGCAAACCACTTTAGTGTACCGCGGTTGCCCTCATCGTCCATTACTTCAGTTTCGAAGACGGCCGCTTCAGTTGCGGCCTCCGAATGCAAGTACGACTGCGCAACGTGTTGTCCGGATATGGCAATTTCACCAACCTCGTTTGTATCAAGTATCTGGCGGGTATCCATATCAAAAATGGCAACATCGATACCATTTACAGGAGTGCCGACGGTCCCGGGTCGACGAAAGTCGAGGCGGTTTGCCGTAGCAAAGCCACAGGCTTCAGGGGTGCCATAGGACTCATAGACGGGTGTCTTCAACGACTTCTCAACTTGTTCGAGCAGCTCAGGGGCGATGCATGTCGAACCACACGACCGCACAAAAGTAAGCTGCTGCCTGTCAATTGCACTGGTTTTCTCATTTGCTTCATACAAGTCGAGGATTTGATCGGGGGAAGCTGAGAGCCAAGTGATATCATGTGCTTTGGCCAGATCCCAAAATTTCTCTGGTGAGAATCCTCCATAGCCGGGAAGGACGATGTGGCCACCCGAGTAGAAAGCGGCGATAAGGATGAGAACACCGTGAATATCGTGGAGTGGTGGGGCGAGCATAGTGCTCATATTAACGGCGAGGACGTATGTTGACACGAAAGATTTAGCGGCTTCGCAAAGGGCACGATGGGAGAGCGGGACGACGCCTACCGCTGAGGACATATGGACGGCGGTCTCCTCGGGATCGAGTTTGAAGTCACCCGCACCGCCAGCCCAGGCTGCGCCAGCGCCGGTCATCCTTCCATGTGTTTCTAAGATGACGCCTTCGTTAATTGTGCGATGGATATGCCAATCAAGCAAGTCCAGTTTCGCAGAAGCGTTCTTACACTTGAGGGTTAGTTCATCTTCGGAGTCGTCCGCTAAGGGGGAGACGAGGACCTTTGCGCCCACGTCCGAAAGGGCCTTTTGAAAGGCCTGCTCGTCGAGAGAGGGGTCAATAGGCGCGGCGATGGCGGCGATCCACATGAGGGCGTAGAAGTAGATGATAGCCTCAAATGAGGTGGGCATTGCAAAGGCGCAAACGGTGCCGGGGCGAATCCCGGCTTCGCGCATGCGACCAGCTATAGATTCGACCATTTTGTAAACCTCGATGTGTGAGAAGATGGCCTTGCGGCCACGGCGGGTGTTAGGACAGGAAGTGACGGCAAGTTTTGTAGCATAGCGAGACTTGGGAAGCTCGACGAGTGTCGTGAGTTTGAGAAGCTCCTCCTTGTCAGCGGAGGGCAGGGCGCGCAGAAAAGAGGCGGAGCCCTGCATGGTGGCGACGGGGATGGACACGGGTTTGGACAGGAAGGGACACGGAGGGACGGACGAGCGGGACAAGTGAAGTGCGCAAGGGTTGGGGAGTGGGGGAAAATGGAAAAATAGTGGGTGAGGACGGGGTATCGGTTGGGTTATGGCGCTTGAGGTGGTTCGTAACGACTCTATGTGGTGTGTGGGCGGTGTCGGGCACGGCGTCGTTTGGTGCGGTTGGTGCCTAGTTCAAGAAAGAAGAGTCTTGAGCCTGGCGGAAGATGTCTGCGCATACACAGGCTCCACGCTGCAATTGACGGCGCGTGCAGGAAAGCCGTCCAGAATCTCCATTTTTTATTACTGCGCCCTTGCTCTTACACTGTCAACATCCTGCTTGCATTACAGCCGGCGGCAAGGCGACCGACGACGGCAACCAAGATCTCAGTCTGTTTGAGATATTTTGGTTGCCTCTGCCCAACCACCGGCCACCTCCCCAGCGTGCCACGTGCACACGCACCGCCCTGCGAGCCTGTGCGCGAAGTTGATCCCATTATCAATCCCCCCCTCTTCTCTTTTCAAGACTCTGCTGACCGTCCCTCCTCTTTAAACTAGCATGCAAACACCCCCCACCAAAACCCCATTATCATCTCTCCAACCATTGTAAGCCTCCGCCTCTACCCCTAGCCCACCCCCCTTTTCTCCCAAGCCCCAACCTCGAAAATGTTTCGACAGACGCTGTTCCGTCACCTCTCCCGCCCCCTTCCGCGTCTCCTCTCCACTCAACCCTCAGCGGCCTTCGCCCCTGCCGCCCCCACGTCGCGCTTCGCCGGTGTCCCGCAAGGCCCAGAAGATGCCATCCTAGGCGTCACGGTCGCCTTCAACGCCGATCCCAACCCTAACAAGATCAACCTGGGCGTCGGTGCGTATCGTGACGACGTAGGGCTCCCCTTTGTCCTCTCGCCCGTCCGTGAGGCAGAGCGTCGCATCGTCCACGCCCAGCACCATATGGAGTACCTCCCGGTCGCAGGCTCCCGCACCTTCGTCGATAAGGCCATCAGACTGGCCTACGGAGAGCACAATCACCATGTTAAGACCGGGCAAGTCGCTAGCATGCAGACCCTGTCGGGGACGGGTGCATGCCGGATGGCGGGCGTGCTTATTCAGCGCTTTTTGCCAGCCCTTGATGACGGCCCCAGGGACGAAAGCCCTCTCGTCTTACTGCCCAACCCGAGTTGGGCAAACCATGCCGCTATATTCCGCGATTCCGGCTGTACCGTAGGTCAGTACAAGTACTACGATCCGGCTACCAAGAGTCTCGATTTTGAGGGCTGTGTATCCAGTTTAGAGGACGCTCCAGATGGCAGTGTCGTGCTTTTGCATGCATGTGCGCACAATCCCACCGGAGTTGATCCCACACCTGAGCAATGGGCTAAACTTTCGGCCGTCCTCAAGGAGAAGCGCCACCAACCATTTTTTGACATGGCGTATCAGGGCTTCACCAGTGGAGACATGGAAGTCGATGCTGCGAGTGTGAGGAGGTTTGTAGATGACGGGCACCGCATCGTCTTGGCACAGAGCTTTTCCAAGAATTTTGGCTTGTACGGCCAAAGAGTTGGGTGCCTGTCGGTGCTCACAGATTCGCAAGAGGAGGCTCTTGCCGTCGATTCCCAGCTTAAGATCATCGCGAGACCGATGTACTCCAACCCGCCCATTGCTGGGGTGAGGATTGTCGAAGAGGTACTAAGCGATCCCGAGCTGGAGAGGCAGTGGCGCATGGAGATGAAGGGCATGGCGGAGCGCATCATATCGATGCGAACAATGCTAAAGGGCTATTTAGAAGAGCTGGGGAGTGTGCAAAATTGGGACCATATTACAAACCAGAATGGCATGTTCTGCTTCTCCGGTATCTCTAAGGAGCAAGTTGCCAAACTCAGAGACGAACACTCTGTGTACCTCACTGAGAATGGTCGCATCTCTATGGCTGGTGTGACGTCGCAGAATGTTGGATATCTGGCGAACGCTGTGCACAAGGTCACAATGTAGGGGCAGTTTTACTACCAGGTCATTTTACAAGTAGTTGACTTTAACTTGAAATAGTCCTCACCACTCAATGTCATGAAGCAAGGAGTTGCGAAAGAGATCGCAGAGCGAGCGAAGACTGTCAGATGACGTGAACGCAAAAATTCGGACTCCAGTCATAGTCTGTTGGCTTTTGTGTCGTCATACCGTTGCTTCAGTATCGCTGGTTTCGGCTACATAAACGAAGGCTGAATGTCAAGTCACAGAATGATAGAATAATGTAACAACGTGTATTCAACGACGATTCAAGTGCTATAAATGAGCCTCGACGTTTACGCGATATAATGCGGCACTAAACATGCAATTCGTGGTCAGCTTCTTCCGGCCCCAAGTCTTCGTTTTCATCGTATTCTTCGCCCTGATCTGCACCGTCCTCTGCGATTGCACCCACGTCATCCTCGGCGTACAAGACGGCCTTGATTTGATCTAAGGCTCTGGCAAAGTTGTCATCTATCTCTTGATCCTCGAGTTCCTCCTCAAGATCTTGTAAAAGGACCTCTACACTTCTGAGCTTGTGGAAATAGAATTCACGCTCAGTCTTGGTCTCTTCAGCTTCGTGGTTCAATCTTTCTATCTCTTCCTTCAAGAGGGCGTTCTCCTTTTGAACGCGTTCAAAGCTTTCTTTTCTGACAGTGGGCCCCATTGGTCGTTTCGGCCTGACTTGGGGAATCGTTGACGTGGCCATTCGATTTACAGCACTGGTCCCCACGGGACGTCTTGTCGTCCGCTGCCCATTCGCCACTGCCAATGCTGGTCTCATTTTGGTACCAGTCTTAGACATGATACCCTCGCGCCTCGCACGTCCATCATATTGGAGTGCCTCTTCCGAAGCATGAGAATCAAAGAATGCCTTAATCCATTGAATAAACTCGAGGTTATCCTGGTACTTTCCTTTGATGAGCCTGGCGACGTCAATATGCTTCTTAAGGTTAAGTCTGTTAAACGCCGCTTGAAGAATCTTGTAGTTTTTGACGAATTCGTACTCTCGTTTCGCATTGAAGTCCACCTTTTCCAGGCGGACCTCCCCGGGGAATAACGCATCAAACACATGGCAAGCGAACACACCACTGGCAGTCTGCTCAATCTTAGAGTAGTTGAGCGAAGTCATGTCGTTGATCCATGACAGCAGTTCGTTGCGGCCAACGAAATAAGCCCCGCCCATCATGCCAATCGCCTCACTGTTCTGCATTGTGGTGAGAGAGGTAAGCAAGCCCAAAGAAAATCTGTACGGTGAAAGAACGTTCGGCGTTTTCGAGCACCTCAAACAGAATGAAAGTAAACGCGGCCCCCAGCGAATTGAGAATAGTCCAAGGAACGGATGGAAAAAAAAGTAGACCTTTACACAGAATATGGCAGATGGAAAAAATGTGTACGGTACCAACTGCAGCAATCAGTTAGAGGAAACGGTATTGTTTGGGGCAAAAATTCAAGTGACGAAAGCGAGATCTAAGCATGAAAAAATATGCGGAATCTGGGCCCTGGATGTTGGCATTGCAGTAGGGTTGTTCTGCCCAGAAACGGAGAACGCGGCAAATTCGAATGTTCAAAAATTTAAAAGGTCACACGTATGAGTATGAGTTTTGAAGTAATGTAACTCAGAAAAATACACGTGTAATGTCCCAGACAGGCCAGCTCCAAAGCTCTTTCGGTTAATTCACCTCTTTCGACATTACACTTGGTGTTAGTCGTGGTAGACGTGGCACCGAGTACACCTGGCATGGGTGCTTCGTAGTACAGTACTACAGTATATGACTGCCGAAAAACGGGAGGCATGTTAAGACATACCCTGAAAACGGGGCATGTTAAGACACACCCTCAGGGTGTGTCTTAACAGGCTGGTTTTTTCATACCCTATCATAGCTACTTTCATGTCACTTCATGATACTGTAATGCGCATAAGTGCTTGCAATCAGATGTTGCCACGTTCGCAGGATGCCATACGTGTACACTCAACAATTAATTAATCTAACCACTGCCGTACAGTACTGTTGCGGTTATCCCAACTGTGGTTTAGCACCCGCGACAAGCTCATTGAGGGCATCCACCCAAATTCTTCATTTCCCGACTGTCCGCTGCCTTCCCCTGCCCTGCAGTATCCTCCGGGGGGTGACCCTTAATGTACTATTCTCTCCTCCCTACCCCTGTCTCCCGCGCCTACCCCTCCTTTTGTCCGTCTCCCTCTGCCCGGCCTGACACCTCCTTTTCTCCCCTTTCCTTTCGCCACGCTCCGGTGGCGTCGACTACACCCCCTCGTCCGCCTCTTCCGTCAGACTCTCGCGTTTCGGTTCCCTATCATGGTCGCGTGCATCCCCCTTCCGGTTCGCAGTCCGGTTGTACACGTTTGCCACGTGCCGTTCCGCAACAGTACAGTATAACATTTCCGGACAACCCGTGTTTTTTTTGAGACTATTCCTCATGTCTACTTTTCTACTTGCCGCTAGCAGGAAGACTTATTAAAAAAATGGGGGGCAAAGAGCCGAGTTGAAAGGCTGCCCCTCAACTTCAAAGTAGCTCAGAGCACGACGGCGTTCGCGGCTGCCCGTGTCCGACAAACGGCTTTCTTTGCTTCATATGGGGACTTGGCATCTTGAAGGCTTGAGGACGTACTTGAATTCATATGTACACCACGTTACAAGTACGGAGTCTGCAGGGGGACTTTTGAGGATGAGGAACAGGGCTTCTGTTGCGCCGGTGGCTACAAGGAATGATTGTTGCAATACAAAAACGTACGGTAACATTACTCTTGACTAAAATCTATGCAGTAGTTGAGAGGAGAGAGGCGAGCCACCAATAGGCTTCCCCTCCTTAACGGATCTGCGTGAATCGCGTTAGGAAAGGACTCCGTAATCACCGGGCCCTGCCTGTACTGTACAGTATGGACATCAGGATAACTTAGCTGTGATGATGCGCGTAGGTCCTTTGAGGACCGACGGAGGATGTAAGGCTGTGTGACGGTTTCCAGAACCGTCCGCAGGCTTTTGTAGGCTAGAAAAAGTGGAATGGAGATTGTTACTACCACAATGATCCGGGGCGTTCGTTTCCAGAACACACAGCAGAATCGATCCCCCGAAAAATTGTCCAGACACTGAAACGCTGGTACAGTATCTTGAAGCTACAGTAGTTACAAGCAAGGCAATGCTCGGACTGGTGACATCGGTAGGCGGATGGCACATCCCATCCACATCACGTGAAAAGAAAGATATCCCCGTCTGTCACCACATGTACGTACCGGCCGTGACTCTCAAAGGCAATGAGAGTTGATGTCACCTCTGTCAACAGCTTTTTGCGCAGGCCGGCCGCAACTCCTGTTCGACTCTCGGCCGACCTTCCTGCGCCCGTGCTGGAGACCTCTCCCTATCCGCGGCCCACCACGTTGCGTTTCGATACCCCATGAGCTAGCTCACGCACGGCTTCACATGGACATGCGCGTCAGGGTTCGAAACCAGAAAGAAACCGCAGTCCTGCCTGCAGAAAACGAGGCTCATGCACATGTGATGGCGCGCCGAGGGAATACACAAATCACTTAGCACCGTTTTGTTTTTGATGCGTGTGTAGTACAGTACCCTTGGTATTGTACTGTACAACGCTTTGCCGTGAATGAATGCGTGAAGAAGAAAGGAATCAATTCTGTATCACTTGTCATCCGCCGCCGCCCTCATTCGCTTGGATGGCGACCAGCGTACCGTACTGTACGTGGCGCTATACGGCAAGTTCGAGCAGCGTACCCGTATTTGTATAGAAGTTGTCTTTTCAACGTTTCACCAGCAAGGCGTACAGAATTCAAGGAGTCCGAATTCAGGAGCCCTGCACAAAACCGTTTGAAGGGAAACTTCATTTCACAGCGCACCGCAAGAAAGTACGGCACTGCTGTTCTGTGGAGTACAACGTTGAGCCATGTGCTCGCAGTCGGCCGATATCTTGCTGAAGTAGCGCTGTTCCAGCAGCAACAGACTTTACTTTGCGTAAAGTTGCGAGCGGAGACTGTGTGGTAGACCAGTGGGACGGGTAACATAGAAGCAGAGGTCCCGCCGTAGCAGCAGAGCAAATACTCTACCGTACAGTACGAAACTGCGCATGAAGAGGAAGTCATTTCAAGAGACGTGACTTTTAATCATTCGGATACAACGCTACGTTTCAGGCATGCCTTTCTGTGAGGTCGAAACTGATGCTGTGAGCACCAAAGGGTCAAAAGCCCAACTACCGCATGCAGCACCCGAAACTGTGCATGACTTAAGCGTGGCGCAGATCCGTGGACATAGAGCAGTTTCCCAAGGGCGCAGAAATGTTTCGAATTTACCCATTGTGACCGGGGCCGTGTCCGCCATGTCTTGAGTCATGGCGAGGCAGCGGTCCGTTTCGTGGCATAGAGAGCAATCACCATGTGTGTGTTTTCATTTAAAAGCTTGGGTTTGATGACCACAAGTTGTGAAAATGTTGCATGCATTACTTTCCTACATACGTCAGATGTTCTGTTCAGTATTGTACAGTTTAGCACGCTCGTACGACAGTAGTACAGACCTCCCGTAAGAGGGCAACTCCTAGATACTGCAGTCTTATGTTGTTCAAGGAGAGGGCTGAGGAGTGTGACTTCTGAATTGTACATGTCAAGCAATTGTGACGCTAGAATCAGGCAAGATCCCAAGAACCTTGGTGGAAGCAATCCCGAGACGCACCCTGCTGGTTCCAGCAACAGCGTCGTAAATTATGTGCTGTTCTGTAGTCGGCTTTGGTGTCCGCGGACATACAGTGCTTCGGTGTAGGAACAGCGCTGCCCGACACAAGTTACCAACGATAACTAGGAGTCAACTGGGCGCGCGGCAATATGAATGATGGAGACCCTTGTTGCGACCAATACCATTTCTGATTCATAGGAACAGGAACGTGGAAAGGCAACATCAGACTGCTGCAGCTTTTTTGCAGAAAGATTCAACTCATTGTTTTCACTCGCTCTAAAAGTGTCTATCCGACCGGAGCTTTTCCTCATATGAGGACAGCTCTTTTTTTGCAAAAATATATAAACATTTATAAAAAGCAACTTTGGGTACTATTTCCGTAACGTACATATTTTTGGCAATAGCATCTCACAGAACGCCGGGATAACAGCTTCGAATACGCAGGAAAATTAAAAATGTAATGCAGATTGAGTACTTTAGTTCCGTTTTTAAACTGGCGTTTTTGGTTTCGAGGTTATTTTACATGCGGTTTCAAAGTGGTTTAAAGAAGCTTCTTTTCCAGACATATTTAAAAACGACCAGGAAGGACATGCAACATGCAAATCTCGCAAAGTTCTTTCTGGTCCCAAGACAGAAGTCAAG